TGGCTGCCTCTGCACCAATCACAACAGAAATCAGCATGTAAAACTGAGCAGTTTCCACATGCACATCCAGGGAAATCAATGGTCTAAAATGAAGCTTCACACTGATTTTAGGCATTCAAAACCAATACAAAAGTGTTTACACAGGTACACTGATGTTGTCCCTTTAAAACAGGCATGCAAGTTCAGAAGATTTCTTCTCACATGTTATATAGGCAAAATGTGGAAGCTTTTGCAAATGTCTAGTGAAGTCTTCACTTTAGTGCATATTCTCACCTTAATGCAGTCACTCACTTCAATGATTTTCCTGCTAAAACACTCATTTCTCACCTGTTTTTCTTGTGTGTTACATTTAGAAATGAAAACAAAATGGTATTAGTGCCTCTAGCTCAGCAAAATTGAATGTGTTCTGTATGAGACTCAATAACGACAGTTACTTTTGGGAAATTGCCTGCTAATTCCTTTTGCAGACCCTGGGATTTTGGAGATCTGACACAATTCCACACCCTTCAGTCAGCAGCTCCGTCCTGCTGTGCCACGTTACTGCTGCCCTGAATGGGCCCACAGGCAAGACCATGCCAATAATGCAACACAACAGTAACAGTTTGCATGGTGACAAGAGATTAGAATGATTCTGGTCCATCCTCAGTGAAAGTCCATCCTCAACCCCTTTGAGCAATGCTCATTTCCTACTCTAGTCTCCACCTCAGGCACTGTTGCCAAATTAGAGTACAGACTTAGACTCAGTCAATGAGCAAGCAACTGTGGTGGTTTAAAACATGAACAACTCTCTTTCCTTGTCCCCATTTATTTATATTGCCCTATTTCTAGGAGTTAACACCCTAAAAACAGTGGTAGAAGATTTCTCCTGTTCATAATCCAGTGTTTCATTGGGAACTCTGCTCCATTTGTGATCTGTAATCCAGATGGGATACTACAATAGGGAGGGGGGCTTCAAGATCTTCATAGGGGTCATGCTGACTGGAAGCTGGGAACTACAAGCAGAGCAACATGGCACAGACCTGCCATGGCCTTAACCTCTCAACAAGATTTGCAAGAGGTTATTTGTCAAAGGCCTAATCTATCCGTGTGCTTCTTTTCATGATGGCAGAACCATATCTCTAGAGAAGAGCAGGGAGCAAGCCCCTCTAAGGTGCACCAGAATGGAGGTTATTCCCCATCCCCCTTTGCAAAGCAGCTCATCTATTGAATGTAATTTAATCAACAAATGGAGTTGTTCTTGGCAGGGTATCGTCATTTGAAGAATAACTCCTCTTTGTCAGAGATGGAGCTATACAACCACTTTTATGTGATTGAGAAAAATTAGCCCAATTAAATACATAAATGTTTAAGTAAATCCTTTGGACATAATTCCCCTAATAAAAACCAAATAAATATCCATTTTTAAGGAGAGTAGTAAACTGCTGGGTATTTCACAACGTCAGCTCAGGTTTTCTAGAAAAGAATATTCAAATCCACTTAAATTAAAGGCATAGTTATTTTTCCTGCAGTGTATTTAAATACTACTTGGGAATCTACACAGAAATGCGTGTATCTGTCAGGGGTAGAAGAAGTTCCCGTCCTCACAATTTGGGCCATCTCAGCACTCTCTGGAGTGCCTGTTAGTCTAATGCCTTTTCTACTGCCTGAAGTCATGAAGAGACATTTCTTATCTAGCACACCCACGAAAGATTAGGTTTTTTTCCGGGTTCTTAGCATTGCTATTTATTTATTCTCTCTAGTTATGAGTTATGGGGGAGGGATTTGTCATGTTTTCCTTAAGCAAAAATTTTCATTTAATTACTAATTCTAGTATATTTCTGGTTGGCATTACGTATCACAGTGCACAATTCAGCTGCTTCTCAAGAGAGTTCTTGCAGTTCCTCATCTGTACCTGCCTCTCATTCTTCTTCATCCTCCTATAATGTAGATTGCAGGTCCTGGCTCTTATTTTCTACCTTCAACCTCAACCATTTATCCCCCACACTTTTTGTAAGTCCACAACAAATATCAGTGCTGAACTCCCTCTTTTGCTGGCTCTCTAGTCAAACCTGGTGAGCTTTGACCCTCCTTTCCCAGCTGCACGCTCACATTCCCTGTGGCCTGGGCTGCAGCACTTGCTCTGCCCTCCTGGAAGAGGAGGCTGAATGCTGCCTGCTGATCAGCATTCCTGTGAACACATCTCCTCTGAGAGTAACCATGAGCTGAATTACCCTCTCTGTGTCATCCTCACTGGCACCCACAGCAGCAGAGGGTGCAGGAACAGCACTCCCATCATCACCTTTTCTCCTGTTAGAAACCAATGCAGGGCTCACAGCAGCTCTGATTTTCTGAGAGCGGGTTTTGAATGCAGTGTAATTCTTAAGACAACTCATTTCACAGGCTCAGGAACAGAAAGCATATCATTGCAGCTTAATCAAATTAAATATTCAAATGAAAGCAATAATTACTTAAATTTGTCTTGAGACTTAGTAAGATTAAGTCTTTGAAACATCATTTTTGGCCTGTAGGCTCTAATGAGTATGCCAGTCCCTAATGATTCAGAAGAGACCTAGAGGGTTTGGGTTATCCCCAACCAAGAGGTATTTATGAAAGTCTAGCAGCGTGGTTATTAAATGGCCCTCGGACAGTACCTCGTCTTTACAGATGGTTTTGGTAACGCACCATCAAACAGACACTAAGTAAAAAAAAAAAAAAAAAATCATAGCCAAGCATTTAAGTTCACTGTCAATGTATGTGGAAAGGATATATTTAGTGGCAGGGCTGCCTAGAAAAAAATCACTGCAGCAAATTTCAGCTCTCATTATGATCTGTTAATTACTGTGTTGACACACGATTGCAGCAGATCAGTGAGACCAGCACTGCTGTCAAGTCTAGGCATGTGTCACACATGGGCTATGTGCTCCAGAAAACACAGTCAGAGCCTTCACAGTTAATGCAAGATTTCTTCTGGTCCTTACGCGTACCTGGAAGGAAAGCTGCCAGATGACATTTTTCACATTAGTTTCTTCACTGACTTTTAAGGCAGAGTGACTCAATTTATGCAAATATCTGACTCATGAGTCAAGACTGAGACAGTGAAGGTGGTCTTGGAGACTCTGCTCTGACTGTGGACATGACAGTATTTAAAGGTAACAGTTTGTAACTGCCCAAGAGCTTTGGCGAGCTCACGCTGTCACAACACCCACCTTCTGTGACTCTGCAAAGAAATAACCTAGAAGGTAACACTGTTCTGCACCTGGGATCAAACACGGGACACAAGCTGGAACCCCAGAAGCAGAGCTGTTCACATGCTTGGCATGGAAGAGCAGGAACCAGCATGCACCAGTGAGGTGTTAGCTGTCCTTTCAAAGGGGTGCTCAGTGGGCTGGCCAGGAACTACTTCAGACTTCCACACAGGGCTGGCCATGGGCAATGGGCAATGAACCTGAATCTTCCCTGAAACAGTTACCACAGAGTTTTGTCTGGTCTTTCTACTACGTCCTTTGACACACCTTTCCATGGAGCTGGGAATCTCAGTTCTGGAACACTTTTTTTCCTGCTAGTTAACTATACATTTCTGTTCTTATTGTTCTCTCTCCTGTCTTTAAATCTTTCTATTCTGAGGTGAATAAAAAGTTTTCAGGAACTTTTTATACTTTGCTGAAGAGTAAATTTAGTATCAACAGCACAGAAGGATATTAGAGTTCAGAATAACAAGGTAAAGCTTGTAGGGCACATTACACATCCCCTGAGTAACACCATAGGTGGTTGCTGATAAGACATCAGTGGCACTGTAGGGATGGGTGCTGATATTGGTTATGAGAATTTCTGGTCCCCTGCCAGATCAAATGTACTCAAAACACCACAGGAATTCTGTAAGGAAGAGTGGCCTGGAGCATCTCTCCCAGAGCAGTATTTTTTTACCTTTCAACCTCAATTCTTTTGCATATCTTGACAAGAAACACCTCTGAGATTAAAAAATCTCCTTACTCCTGAGATCTGACAGAAAGGTCTGTATAAAATCAAGAGATGACGCAGCAGGTTTGTCTTTAACCTTAGGAGACCATTTTTGTCTACTATTCCTTGCACTGGGATTCAGGCCCTGCACAAGTCCTGCACGCACACGTATGGAAAGAATTTCTATGATCAACTAAGGTTTAGCCTGCAAGGGCTGGAAATGGGGAGCTCTGTATGCTTAGGAGCAGAAGCTCTCAAGTCTGTAGGAGGTCAAGGTGCTCAGTCCCTCCTGCTCCTTCAGGAGGATTGCAGATTGCCCTCTTCCTCAAGCAACACAGGGTCAGAGAGTAGTTGTAGAGAAGGGTATCAGCAATTGCATTGATCCTTCCAGCTAAACAAGGTCCCAGACATGCATTCAAACATCAGATCCTGATCATCCACATTGCTTAATCCTTAGGTCACTGCTGTTTCCTGCTTTTCTAGAGCCCCTCCACAGAAATGCACAGGTGTGAGCCCAGTTTGGCTGCATCCCTGGCTCTCATTCCAGGCGCAGTGCACTCAGCAGCAGTAACTCAAGTAGTTTGTTTGGGAGAAGGTAAACATAGGGTGCAAGTGTTAGTTGCCAGCTTCCCAAGTATGTAAATACACTTTACACTTGTGTTAGAAGGCCATAAACATCCCAGAACTCAAAGATAGCCAATTGCAGTCATGGAGAATTACCCTGACCTGTACTGTGATGGGGTGCCTCTGTCCAATGTCAAGACCTCCAGGAGTGCTAGCTCCCATATTGAAAAACTATTAAATCTGATTTATTTCTAAAAATATGCATGCATACATAAATGTATACATAAATTTTCTTTTATAACATCCTTCTGGAAAATATTTCCAGAGATCCATCTAAAATCCCCTGCCTTGGCACCATTCTAGAATGATGCAGTATGACTAGCCTACCACACACAGGTAGGTTGCTTCCCCAGACCTGTGCTTATGTCCTAGTTGTCTTTTATGACCGACACATAGAAGAGCCTAGTGTGGCTGAGATCGATCCTCTGATGATGACTCACCCAACTCAAACTGGTTCGAAAGGTTACCACAGGTTTGTCTGACTTCTTCACTGTCCCAGCCAAGAGGGTAGAGGGCACAACCAGAGCCGATCAACAAACCTATGGAGAGAAAAGGAAATAAAGGTTTATACAAGCAGTTGCCATTAGCTTAAACACAGGCTGCCACTTGGGAATCGAAGTTCCAAACTGCAATTTAGGAATGCCAGAGAAAAAGAAGTCTCTTCTTCTCCTAAAACAGATGAAAACCATTTGGACTGCTGCCTTCTGCTGCAGTTTTAGAGCGGGTCTGTGGGCTGGAGCCAGTCCAAGCAGCTCAGCATCAGAAGCCATGCTCAGCTTCTGAAGCTTTTATCTGAGAGCTTTTAGACTCCTCTTCTACTCTCCAGAATGGCTAAATATGCAGTTTGGAATACACAACATGTGGTTAAATAGAAGCATGTTAATGAAAGCATTTACAAGCTGATTGCTTCTGATTAATTAAAACAACAATCAACCAGGGTCCATCAAGGTTCCATCAGGAAAACTGACAGTTGTGCTAATCTGTTGCCATTTTACTTTGTTTTTCACTCTTTCAAAAGCAAGGGAATAATGGTTTCATACCACTTGATCAATGCATACCACACGTACACACTGCTCAAAGTTTTCTTAATTCATTCAGCTGCAACAACTGAAGTCTTGAGTCATTTACCTGTTGTCATACTTGGTTTAACATTCACAAGATGCTTTGCTTTCTCCAGCCCTCATGCTGCCCCCAACAGATGTGTTTTGGCAAATCCTGTCCCTTCACAAGACATCCTAGGGAATCGGCAGCGCACCAATGCACCATGACTACTTTGCAGAAGTGGCATTTTTATCATATTGCATTCTCAGCTGTCACTGCAGCAGCTGCCAAAAGGCCGATGTAGCTGGCAAAGCGTTTCACACAGATAGCCTGGAGAGAACATTTCAATGTATGTTACAACATTTAAATGTTGCCTCCTTTGTGTCAGATCTTATTTATGAGACTGGAAACAAATCACTGTGTAGATAATGGGCTAGGAGCACCTGACACTTCACAGGCTGTAAAGCCAAGCAAGCCCTCCCAAGGTTTGCAGGGGTGCCTTTTACCTGCTAGGCAGAGCACAAGGTTTCAAGCCCTACAGCTGTCACTTGCTGCCTTTGGGCATACCTCCTGACCTCACATAATCTTGCCCCTCCTCTCTTGACAATAAGGAGCAGTGCTCCCTGGAGAAGCCCTTCTGCTGCTTGCTCCCAGTGCAGAAAATCCCTGGGTGTTGTGACAGAGTCACTGTGGACATCACATCAGTCTAACAGGAGTCCTGAGAGGGATTATGGCTCAGGGTCTAGAGCCTGACATATCTTCCTACTGTTCCCAAAAGATGTTTAATGCTCTCAGCATCTTGCCTGTTAGCAAAGTAGCTCAGCAGCTTGTCTGCTGCTCTTCCTCCAAGCACACCTGCACCTGTTTAAGCCCAGTATTAACTCCCTGGATCTTCCTCCAATAAGTTCAAATTTCTTCAATGTGCTCAAGCCCACTTCTTCCTTCCCTTGTTGATCAGTCATTGCCTGCTCTTGTCTCCACATCTACATAACATAATGAAAAAGAAATCCCTGAGGCAGCTCTCAGATGGAGCATTCACCCAACAGCTGTGACAGGAGAAAAGCAATTAAGGACATGTGAATGCTAGGTATTTTCAGAACTTGGCCTGATCTGGGTATGGTTGCTTCTAATGTCCTCACTAATATCTTTCACAGTATCATTTCATTTTTTTTCCCCCTAGGGCTGTAGAGCTAAGGGCAGCTGGTAGGATCCATGTAAATGAGAATCACTTCTAATTAAATTCTCAGAAAGGATGTTTCTCAGACAAGGGAATCTAGGCCAAAACTTGGTCTACATTTGTTAAAGGCAGCCTAAAACCCTCCAAACAGCCCCTGCCGATTCTCTCTTGAACTGTTAAAGCAAGAAAGATGTTGTGAAGCACTGACAGCATGGGTGGTGTGCTAGGAAGGGGCAGCACCCCATAGGGCAAGTAGGAACATCACCACTGATGATGAGAATGGCTGGGGAAGGCAGGAAGAGCACCTAGATGCCAGTCAGCTTGACAGACCAGTGCACTGTGGCAGCCCCAGCCAGTCCTGCCGTGGTTCTGACCCCCTCCCACAGCGCTTGTGGTGCCCGCGATGTGCCCAGTGCCAGCCCAGGCTGCCACAGCTCAGGAGCTGCTCTGGCCAAAAGGGAACCACCCTGGCTGGGCTGCCTGCAGTCACCTTGTGTACTTGAACAGACTGTCTGGGAGCCATACAAGTGCTCAAAGGGCTCTGTTGCGAGGGGCAGGGAGATGTACGCGGGGGTAGGAGGGAAGGCAGGCTTGCACCCGCCTGCCTTGGACCAGATCAAATGGTGGCCAGTCCTTCCTCACAAACAGGTCCTGGGAAAGCCTTCTGCTCAGTTCTTCCAGGAGAGGACAACAGCAGTACTGCAGCCAAGTGAAAGGACTATTAGCATAATAATGCTGCTGCTCCTCCAAACCCAGAACAAGCCCTTACTCAGCCCTTTCCAATTATTCTCCTCAGGTGGCAGGAGTGTCTAGTGCCCATTGCATTCACAAACTGTTTTCAGCTCTCTTTAGGTTTTGTTGCAGCAACAGGTTGTTAGGGCTTTTTCCCACGAGTATTGCTCACAGCACTTTCCACTGCCACTCTCCAAACACAGTTCATCCTTTTCCAAACATGAGTACCTGTTCACTCTTTCTGCCTCTGATGATACACTGGATCAGTGAACCTTGACAATTTATCTCCTTCCCTATTCAGACTCCTTCAGCCCCCTGTTACACCTCTTTTCCCATTTCTGTACACCCATGTCTGTAAGTTCAAAACCCAGTTTCAGTAAATAAATAAATTCAGGGGTTCAGTCAAAAATTCCTCAGCAATGCAATATACTGTAATGTTGAATTGCTCCAAAGGAGCTCACACATGGATGCTTGCCCTTAAAGCCATTCCAACACTGTCTAACAACCAGCACACAGCACCCACTGCTGAGCCTCACCATTAGCTGTGTCTCCTACTAAGAGATAAACCTAATAAGGGAAAACTATGTCAGAAAGCCTCCTTATCCCAGTGTCAGCTGGCTCTCCAGCTGACTAGGGGCTTTATCAGTGCTGAGTTTCACTTATGGAGTACCAGTCACTGAGCAGTGCAGCTTCTTTTCCTCACACAGCCTGCACTGACTGGGATGAGGAGATCAAATGGGAAATTGCTGCCTATTGCTGTTGCTGCCACATGACCCCAAAGCACCAGTGGCAGCATGCTTATGTGCAAAGGACAAGGTATAAAGCCATGGGCAAGCTCACACGCTTCTCTGAGTGAACATAACACCTTTCAGGGACCAAGAGTGTGCCAGGAGCATGGGTTTGTGTTCCCATCTGGCAAAATGGCTTAAATAAATATTTGTTTTGTCACTGGTACCCACTGGCCACAAGACTTAAAGCTGTTGCTCTGACATGTCCTTTGATATCACTGGTTTTCAGCTGTTTTTGACTGACCTTCAGACAGTTCCCTTTTGTGGTGCATATGCACTTGCTGTGGATTTGAGTCTTGACAAAACACTTGTCCTCCAGTACTTCTTGCAGGCAAGGTTCAGACCCAGCTCAGGGACTTGCCTTCAACATAAGAATTCTGCAAAGATTTAGAGCCCAATTGTCAGCAAGGAAAAGTTTCACAAGCTTTGCTTTATGCCCTGAGGTATATTTATATGTACGAGCATGTGTGTGTCACGTCCCATTGCTTTCAGCAGGATTCTACATGACTTCAACATGGTCTGCATGGGCACTGAAGCTGAGAACTGGCATTTTGGCTCCGTTATTTTATGCACTGAAAGTGTGGAGTGTGCCTCAAAGCCCATGGTGTTAATGGGACTTAGACAAAAGCTCCTCAGTCCCTTCCCTCCCTTCTAATCAATCCATCCCTGTTTGTAACCAACTGTGTGGATCAGATCCTGCAAAATCAAAAAGGCTGCATACTATTACCACTAATAATTCATACATGCTCACAGCCAATTTATTTAATCACAGAGGATGTAGATCCTGCTGAACAGCTGCAACCTCCAGTAAAAGATCCAAGCTGAATCCAAGGGCTACAAACCCAGTGGAAATCATTAAGCTAATTCTGCAGCCTCAGTAAAGAGCGGTTACTAGTTCAGCTCATATCTGAATCATGAAGAATTATATTCTGGCCTGCTCTACAGTTATTGCATTTAGCCAGCTATGCTACCCAGGACACCACGCCCATCTTTACAGCTGCTTAAAATGCTTAGGATGCCTGTAACATTTTTTAAAAAGGAAGAAAACCAAAACCAACAATGTGTTGTAATTACCACCCTCTGTCATCTTCCGTTATCCACTACAGTTGTGAAAAGAAATTGAAAGGGGAAGGAAATGTGCAGATCTGTAAATGGCACCTTCACAAAAGGGCCTGCAGCCTCGAGGTGTGAGGGACCCAGTCAGTGGGATGGGGCGAGTCAGCAAGTGGAGGTGCTGGTGGCACTTGGCAGCTGTTTTAGATGACGTACCATGTACCAGCAGAAGTGTTGGCACTGTCACAGATCAGCTTTTCTGGAGAGGTTCCATATCTGGGAATGAAACAGGCTCCTTGCCCTTGTCTGTGAAACACTGCTATTGTGAATGCTGCATCTGGCTCAATATGCTAGCAAGGCATGGGGAGACACAAACAGGACTGACTGAGCACCACCAGCCGTGACAATCCAAAGCTGGAATTAAGACCTTAGCTTCAGTATTTAAGAGTACCAGACAGCCCCTCTAGGCTCTCATCTAAAACCAGCCTATGTGGCTAAATGTGGAGCTGCCCAGACCTACAGATTGTAAAACTGCAAATCAGGGGGTCAGACAGTGGATGCCTTAATATTAAACCACCCAGAGTAATCCTTGTCTCTCCCAGACTGCCTTCCCTGTCACTCTTGCTGAGAGTATAATGCATAATGTACTTTAGTAACTCTTAGCACTTGAAAGATGATCTTGCCTGTCTGGAGTGGTGGTTGTGATTGAAAATAATTACACATAACAGGTTCTGCATATGGTGGATGC